GACTAATTGTGAGGATAACTGCGTGAAAAAAAAAAACTCATTACTCTTACACACCCAGACTTCGCTGGTGCAACAAAATCGGAATCGGCCAAGTGTGACATGTATGCTGAATCATTTATGGATCTCTTCACCATTGCAGTTGAGCGACAATATGAGCCAGATGAAGCGATGAAGGTATTAAAGAACATTCCAAGCAGAGCTAAAAAGATTGAATAATGTGCAACTCTAGGAGAAAAAAGATGCTATTTTTGAAAAGCAGTATCCCGAGCGCCTGAGAATACTGGAGGATCTGTTGAAGGAGAATGGTGGAGAAAATTTCGTCGGAAGAAAGGTGGGACCATTACCTACTATTGGAACTCCGCTTCCGTTTATAATATTCGATTTTCCCCTACTCCTTTCACTCAACGGTCTCATACTATTCAGTGCATAAAGGGGCACGTTTTCATTGCAAAGATAGGCGTAAACTAGTCTCCTATTAGGCACTTTTAAACTTTTCGTCGACATTTCTTTACAGGTGAAGAGTATGGTACTCACTACTACTATGGTACGCGCGCGCGACGCACCCAGCTTTCACTTAGAATTACCACTTAGAATTTTATTTGATGTTTTGGCCTTCACTTGGACGGCAGGGTAGAGGTGATGGTTTATACACTGCTTTCACTTTTCTCCAGTTCGCGTTTGCTGGAGGAAGGCAATTGAAATAATGAGTGGTGGTTGGCTAGCGCTGCCTTGGCTTGGTTTGGCCGTTGTACTGGTTGGGATAACGGTGCCTCTTGCCACCCCACATAACTTTCTCAAGCAGTTCTTCATCGTTTCGTAATGTAAACGAGGATAACCCCAATTGAAAGATTCAAATTTTTCAGCCATGACAAGATATCTTCTTTAATACAAACTAAGTTTCGGCTCTTGTTGGTGCCCACAAGTGAAATTCCCAGACCATCAAAATGTTGTTCTCTTATTGCTTATAAATTCTCATTGCTTTCCCAGACGGGCAGTTTTTTATCGAGATTACTTCAGATATTATGGTGCGACCTTGTGGCGTTGTGCGTGCTATCAATGATGGAGGAGCTGAAACCTGATGTTCTACAAGATTTTCCGGACCTCCAGACATACTACGCAAACATGCGTAATCTTCCTGAAATCAAAGAATATATCGAAAATGCGTGGCCACCAGCTGCTTCAACCGCAGCGGAATAGATAAAGCACCTACTACGCACAAATTTGTCTAGATATCGACTTATGTATGAGCCAGTTAATTTGCATTTGAATTGCGATATTTTATCTTATATAATAGTATGATTATGAAAGCATGCTCAGTGTGCGAGTGGTCAGTTACACAGTCAGTTGCACAGATATCAAGCGAACATCGTTTGATTCAAACGTGAACAAATTTAGTTTTGAAAAGTGCATTTTGTATCCAACCAACGAGGAGTTGGGTGTGATAGATAGTTTGCCACATGGTGTAGTAAACAATTTATTGTCTAATCCCAAACTTGGGTAATTAAACGAGAAAAGGCAAAAAACAAATTTAAAAGCATTAGCGACGTCAAAAATGCCATGCAGAAATGCCATACACACCTAAAGGATACAAAATCCAACGGATGTCACAATACACCCTGAATATTAATATACCTGCACTAGTAGGTATTGCACCAGATGAGTGCACCATTCAGTGGACCAACCTGCACTATGTAGGTTGCATCAAAGGCACCCGACTGCACCAAAACACCAGGTCAATGCACTGAATCACAACAGAAAGAGTGTACCAGGGAGAAGGAAGACGCACCTGGTCCGACAGCAAACGGATCGACAGAATGACGTTCTTCCGGCGTGATTATATGCCTATCATACCTACATATGTTGTACAATTCCCGAAAGAATTCTAGTGAAAACGGCAAGTGCACGGGAACGGCCATGCTGTGTAACAAAATGAGCTATCTCAGCTCCACAATTTGTGACCTATAGAATTTGCAAAGCATGCAATTTGAAAAGTTATCGTGTTCAACTTGTCGGGAGTTACAGTAACGGAAGTTCGACCAAAGTAATTTGTTACTAGGAGAAGGCAAATTTTACTTGCTTCCGCTATAGTGGTTCCAATATTGTTTTGAACGTAGCTGCCTCATAGTGAAAACATATATCCTTGCCAGGTGAATAGGTTTGTAATCACTTCTACTACTTTTTTGTCTATGCATTTACGTCAATGAAAGGGTCATTCTAAGAGCCACGTGGCTTTTGGTTGTGTTGATGTACGGCTGTATAGAATGAACACAAAAACCTTGGGAAGAAGTTGGGCATATACGAAAAAAATGTAATGTGGCGCATCCACAGTGTGTGCAGTGAAGTATTCGTTTTCACTTTTTTAAACGTAATTTCCTCGAAATTCAAGCCAGTGAAAACCTTCACAGCAGGTGACATAAACAGGTCGTAATACTTATAGCAGTTTATCGGTGCAGTAGCCTCCTTTCAAGGGGAAATGGAGCTTCATTTTCGAGTATTGTCCGCGGGCACCCAATTTCATTGTTGATAAACGATGAGTTTCCATGTTGAGAGCACGTGTGTTTTTGATGTTTTGTGTCAGTTTCATATGCCTACACAGTACTCACATCGCTGCCTCTAAAGGAAGAGATCACGCTGGCTTCCATGTGGATCGACGAACTCTGCGTTATCGACCAATAAGGGTGTAATAAGAGATACCTCTAATGATAAATTTGTTTTCGTATGACTTAAGCATGGTTGATTGGTGGTTGTGATTATTTCATATGTATTTCATATACATATTGTATTGGTAGATTCTGGATGACTCATCTTGTAAGCTGAGCTTAACGTTATCTGTTAGCTGATCTGTACTGTAGAATGTAATCATAGCTATTGTCCCGCCCATAATCCATCGTATATAAGGACGGTGGATCGCTCTGAGATTCAGTCGGTTTCTTCTTGTGCTCTGCTTCTACATATACGCCCAATAAACTTCTATCGCGTCAGGAGGTCCACGCCTACGAACCACCGATATAGTCGGAGATAGATAGTGATTGGACGAGCATAACCATATGGAAGATACGATACGATTAGATAAGAAGATCCGACTTTCGGAATGGAGTGCACTCTAGCATGAAAATCGAACGATAACGATAACCGTATCATAACTGCACAATGCTGTTGTATCCCCTTC